GGACGGGGTAGAACCGCGCCTGTGATTTTCGGAGACTGACTCTCCCAGGCTTCAAACTGCTGACCTGGCCCTTAGCAGCCCCCCAGGGCGCTGCGCAGCCCCTAGTGACCGAGAAATGAAGCGCAGGCGTCTCGGTCCCCACAGCAGGCCTCTTGCCAACAACCCTGCTTTTCGAAGGCCCTCTTCCTAGCTGCCAGTCACACCGCTGCACCTCAGCCAACATTCTCCCATTTTAACAGGATAAGCACCCCCAGGCAAAGGGACCGCGTGTCCCCTGGCGTGGACACTAGTGCGTTCTAGATGGCACTGGGGACCAGCAGCCACCCTGCTACACCTGCCCAGCCTGTGTCCTACCAGGCAGTTGGAGGAGTGGAGGACCCAGGGTCTGATCCTGAGTCAGCAGCGAACCCCCTCTTCCCTGGCCTGGCAGGGCGGCGGGCCACAGCCCTGAGCTCCAACTTCGTTTTTATGAACCGCGCCGTTTGGCCATCTGGAAATGGGATCGTGTTTCTGCCCATCAGAAGGACGCAGAGGGAGAGAAAAGAGCTTGTAAGAAACGCGGAGTTCCTTTAGTCATGCGGGGTCACCAGGAGTCGGCATCGGCTTGACGACAGTGCGTGGATGGGGTTTTCAACCTCAGGCCCTCTGGTGGCACAATGGGTTAAGCGTGTCGTGGCTAACCTTGAGGTTGGCAGTTCAAACCCACCAGCTGCTCCTCGGAAGATTTACAGCCTTGGAAACTCTATGGACCAGATCTCCCCGGTCCTTGAGTAAGGCTCGACGGCAGTGGGTTGGGAATTTTTAACATAAGGGTTTCCCAGTAAATTGCTCGTTCATCCAGATGTAGGGATCACTCAAATCACATGCTTTGTTATCCGATTGCCTGGTGTCACCTGGACAGCTTCAAAGGAACTTTATTACCCATGGGCCAATGATGCTGTAGCATCCTTTGGCCACCAGAGGGAGATATGACATCAGCGAAGGAGAGCCAGTGCTCAGGCTAGTGGGCTTGCTCCAAAACCTTTGCAGGCTGGACGCATCTGCTCCATTAGCAGTGGGCCCAAGGCGCTGAAATCTCACTACAGACACAGAGAGCAAGTCCTCTGGGCCCCGGGTTCAAGAACAAGCACCAAAAACAAGAGTTAGTTGTATCTGAATTCTGTGTGCAAAACCACGCGACAAAGGTGCTGGACATGGTCAGGGTCCGTCCTAGGAAGGCAGGCCTGGGAGCAACCTGTCGTTCTAATTAAAGCACGTGGGACGAGATTCCGCAGGCCCACTGGGGTTGGTGAGCTTCTCCAAGGCAGTGCGGTGCTCCAACACCGACGGTCAACTGCATCCTCTTCCTCCTCCTCCTCCCTCATTTAAGGAAGCAGCTACTAAGCCCCTGCTGTGTGCCAGTACTTGGGATACAGCACTAAACTGAATGGCGAGGCCACGGACCTCGTGAATGTTAAGTCCTGCTGAGAAGAGGGCACTAGACAAATGAATGTGTCGTTGTTGGTGCTAAAACAGTTAGTTCTACAGATAAGACCACTGGGTCCCATGAAAGCATGGGGCACGTAAGGGCTGGGTCGAGGATGCCTTCTCTGGTGTGGTGTGGTATGTGGTGTGGAGGGGTCAGGGAAGGCTTCCCAGTCAAAGGAACTTGCCTCTGAACTTGAACGAAAGTAGTGAGTTTGAAAGGCCCTGGTGGCTCTGGCAGTACCAGCCCCTAGAAGAGTCGGCCTGGTGTATGCCACTGGTCACCTCCTCCAGACAAATGTCCCATCCCCTGGCATCTCGGCCCTTCTGGCTCAGCCTCTGGACTCCATCCTGACACTCAGTTCCTCCTCTTTCCCTCTCCCTCTGCCCAGCTCTCGCCAGATGACCAGCCGCCCCCTGAAGGAGATGCCTGACACCCACAGCAGCTCCCTGTCCAGCAGATACAAATTCTACGAGTCTGAGTTCACCAGCCCTAGCTGGCCTTCAAGCCCCCAGGACACACACCCAGCCTTGCCCCTCCTGGAAATGCCAGAAGAAAAGGTGAGGAGTTCCTGCCCCACCCCCCACCCCCCAGGATGTGTTCTCGATGGAGGAGG